GTTTTTTTGTGTGCTATTTTTTGCTCTACTCACCTGTAGAAGTGCTTCTGACTGACGGCCAGGTATACGAATTTGGTTATGCAGTGAGTAAAGAATAGCACCGTTATCGTGTTGCCTGACAACTCATTCACTTCATCCGCATTCAATGCCATATTCACCAGAATCAGCAGAAATTGTACCAGAACCAAGACCAAGTGCATGGATGAGTAAATCTTTTTGAAGAGCCCAGAACCGCCAGTGAAATTATGCATGAACAAACCAGAGTACTTCATCAGCCGAATATTGGGCATCAAGTCGGCCACAAGGCCGACATATTTGCTGGGCTGCATGTTGTCTTAGTGTGGGGTGCTGTTGTCGTAGGACTGAAATGAAGAGTGGAATTAATTTACTTTATTGAAATTCGTACTAATTTGCTGTGGTTATTGACAAGTCTTTTTGGAGCAGCGTTTATGTGCTTAGTTTGAGTTCGGCGAAAATTTATGGAACATTAATAACATAATTATTAACAAAAAATTGGTTTTTTCTAGCAAATAAGTATCAGTAGACATCATGGGCAACCCTTTCCTTTGTTGCACATACAAAAATGGACATCGAAGATAATTTGAAATTAAAAAAACAATCGGGGTTTGCAAAAACATTTGTTTTTAAGTAGCATAAGTTTGATAAGATTTTTACTTTGACCAGCTATAACTTAGCGACTTTATTGAATTTATTTGAAGAAGTTTCAATAAAAGTTGTAATTTAAAATTTTTAAAAACTTGGCTGCGACCCATAACTTTTTTTAATTTAGAAATTTTCCGGGATCACTTTTTTGTACGTAAAACAAAATAAGGGGTGCCCGAGATGTTGATATCTTAAGGACCACCCTACTGTGCAATGATATTTTTCTGGTGTTAAATTTTCGTAAATGTTTGTACGCAAGGTGTATAAACAAGGTGTGATTGACAACTCAGTGAGGCTCTCATTTTAGGTACTATTATGCCAAAAAAAAAAAAAACGATTGAAGTTCATAAGTTTCAATTTCACTTTATAGAATGGTTCTTCTGAGAGCAATATCAAATTCAATCAAACTTTGTTGAATAGATTTTGTCTGTACCTAAAACAAAATAAAGGGGTGCTCCAAACAAAATTTATATGTTGATAATTTTAAGGCCACCATATTGCATACTGACCATAAGCTGATGCCAAGCGTTGAAAGGGTTGGTGGTATCTTTCCTAAATTGAAATTTCCACCTGGCTTCGGTTTACTTCCTATACAAAAAAATCAATTTTTTTTAACGTATATGGAGTGATTTTCGAACAGATGCAGAAGGAGAACATATGGAATGCAACAAATTTAGTTTTTACTTACATATATACTATGTTACCAGCCAAACACGATCTTGGGACAAACTAGTTTTTCCTAAGCTAAACTGGATCAGACAATTAACCTCCACATCTGCTTATTTTATTTCCATATCAAATTTGGAAAACAAACGGTGTGGTTATTGAAGTCGATGATATCGACATCACCGGCAATTGTAAGCTTATATAGAAGAGCTGTACATGAGAGTCAGATTAACGGAATCAAACAATAGAGAGTTCTTAAAAACCTCGCTTAGCATCGTAATGCTCGGAGAGGGTCTTCCGAATTCAATTCAACGTCAATTTACACAGCCGAACTAAGTTTTTTCGCGCAGATAC